GGAGTCGTGTCAAAGAAGCTCATTGGGCTCTTTAAGATCTGTGGATAATAGCAGAGAGTCAAACGGAGTCTGGTGAGTGTTTAGCAAGCCCTGGGCTACTCTGCTGGGGCTGGCATGGGAAGCACAGGCTCTGACCTTTTCTCCAGGACACCACCCAGCACGCCAGGCAATCCCCAGGAAAGTGAGGATTGGTGCTGCCCTTCCTGGGGCAATCATGAATGAATGTGGGGGAGATTCTGCCCTTAAGTGGGGTCAGGCTTCCCCTCAGAATCTAGGACACAGCCTGGTGCCTTCAGAGGTAGAAGGGATGTTGTGCCAGGGCAGTAACAAGCCAAGTTCCATTTTGTCTCTCCATCCTCAAAATGTGAACACTTTGGCAAAGACCCTCAGGGCCAGTGACGGTGGTGGATGGCAGAGTGGGCTTCAAGCATCTCTTGAGGCCCGTCCTGTACTCGGGAGCAGGAGATGCCCTCTCGGCCTGCACATCTGTGCTTCGGAATGGCTCCTACCTCTCCCCAAGAGCCCATGGTGCACCCTGACAGCTCTCTGGAATGGGCTTTCACAGGTGGAAATTAGATCTGCAGGGACAAGTTCTCAGACTGCAAGCTCCATGAGGGCTCTTGTGTCCCCAGAGCACAGCCCAGCTGCCTGGCACACAGCAGGGGCCTGATAAACCCTGATGGCTGGATAATGAGCACGTCTGCAGCTCCTGGGCCCCACCTTGTCAAACACTCTGTCATGCAATGAGGAGGATGCCATCAGAGTGGTCTTGGTGAAGATGAAGCCTTTGATGATGCCAAACACCAGCATAGACACCATGCTGGCTATGTACACCCACTGATACATACGCTGCCTGGCATCTTTGAGTCCTCAGCCGATCTCACACACAGTCTGGTTGCCTTGGGGCCTGCAGGTCATCTTTGGGACAAAACAAGAGCATCCCCAAGAGCTGGTGAAGTGTGAGGAGAGGGGGAACTTTCCAAAGAGAAGAAGCTAACGAGTAGCATACAGTTGTTAAGAATGAGTCTGATGGAGATGGTGAGTCACTGCCTTTGGGGCCTCTGAGTCTGTGTGGCTCCCCTCCGAGGGGTACCTGATGTAAGCGTTGCATGGTCAGAGGGAAAAACAGAAGAGAGGAACTCGGCTGGCACAGGGCAGAAGCTACCCCTGCCTCACAAGGCCTGGAATGATGCTGAGCCAGGGCGATCCAGAGAATCTGGATCCCATTAGACTGGCTGAGCAAACCCGAGGTAGCAGAGGTGGGAGGAGGACTCAGGGACCACTCTCCAACTTGCTGAGCTGACTGACAGTGGCTACAGGGCACCTGGGGAGACTCAGGGGCTCCTCCACCCAATGGCCAGCTCCACAGCCTTTTCTTTGTCTCTCTCCCAAGGGTCAGCAATGGAGGGTGCTGTCCTGGAGTCCCTAGTGGGGAGGGCACAGTAGGTGCAAGAGACTCTTAGAAGATTTAGACTGTGCCTCCATCCAGAAGAGAATTTCACCAGCATTCCTAAGAGAGGTTATCTCTTCTTCCTCCTGAGAAATTGGCAGCTTCATTTTTGTCTAGGCTGTGTGCTAAAAGTCAAGAACACCTTTGGGAACCAAGCAAACATCTTTCTTCTAAATGCCATTCTGCTGATTACAGTAATAGAGGAAATGTAAACCAGAGAGTGGCTGATGGATGAGGATCTATGAAGGCAGAAGCATCCCTGGGGAGCCAACTGAGAGAAGGCCCAGCTCACAGAGAAGGTGCTCCTGTGCCTTGGCTTATGCCCACGCTGCCAGGGGCTCTGGGGTAAACGCACAGGTCCACCACCATGGCCACAGGCTCAGTGGCCTACTGTGAATGGACAGAGCCTAGGAGGAAGCTCTGCTGTGACCCTGCACTGGGGGTCTCCAAGGAAAGGGCTCTGTGAGGGCCAGCGAGGAGCTAGGAGAATATGTACCTCCCAGGAATGACTCTGTGTCTGTACAGAGCGGGCCACCCATTGGGCTCATCCTCCAGGAATGGCCCTGGAAGCTATGCCACACAGCCTCTCCCCTGCCCAAGCCTCCTCACTCCGGTGCCTGCCAGCTTCCTGAGGTTGCAGCATCCCTCAATCTTGGCACTACTGACATTTGGGGCAAAAATAACATTGTCTTGTGTGGGGGCTGCCCTGTGCATTGTAGGCAGTTGAGCCCCCACTCTGTTCTTTATCCACTAGAAACTGGCGATATGCCTTTCCATAGCTGTGACAGCAGAAATGTCTCCAAACATCACCAGATTCCCCCGGGGAACCCCCCGGTTGAGAACCACTAATCAAGAACACACAGGTCTCAGAACAAACGCCTGCCTTGGCTTTTCCGGAGAAGCACAGTGAGACTTCCTTTGCCTCTGCTCCCTGAATGAGCTGCCCTCCTACAAAATCTGATTGTGGAAAATGAAAATGACACTGACACTCCCTGCATCCAAGATTTGTAGAGAGGAAACACGACCTTTGTGACAGCCTCTCTCCTTAAAACAGGACAAGTCCTCCTCCCTTCAAGCTCAGAGCAGCCGACCCTGGCGCCGTGGCACAGGCCTCACTCCTGGGCCTGGGTTTACACTGGCCTTAACTGTGTGCTAAATACATAGCTTCACTTGATGTAGCATCCTCCATCTTGCCCAAAACCCTTCTGTTTTTCTCATTTGGATTCCCTTCAAGTCCATATCACTCCTGTGATCAGAGCTCTGCTAAGAGGGGCTCCCCTTCCTTTTGGAATAAGACAGAGCTCCCCCATAGGATCCTCCATCTCAGGCAGGAAGCCTCTGCTAGAGGTGGGTAAATGTTACAAGAGTTAAGATGTTTCAGCCGAAAGAAACACTGGGGCAGGAGCCAAAGATTGCCTCCTGTCCTGCAAGGTCCATCTAAGGTCAAAATTGCTGTGGATGCCTTCAATTATAAGCCTGAAGGAAGTGGCTACTTTTGGCCATCATATGCCCAGTAGGTGTGTGAGTGAAGGGGAGGTGCCCAGAGGGTCAAATGGTAGCAGTTCTAACAGCGCAGACAGCTCCAGCCTCTCTGCCTCCCTGTCCGGCTCCCCAGGCAGCCCAGGCAGGACTGGCCTGGCTTTAAAGTCCAGGTGAGCACTTTCTGACACCCTTCCAGAAGACTGAGACTCATGTTTGTACATCTTCTATCATGTCAAAGCCTGATCTCAACTCTTCTCTCTCAGCCTCCCACTTCTAGTATTTCAAAATACTTGATAATATATCAGCTGGTTTTCTAGATAAGGTAACTGAGGCACCATAGGGCTGGCTACAGCCACACAACCATTTCTGCCTAAGCTAAGGCCAATGCCCCAGGCCTGGAAAGGGCTGGTGAGGCTCCCTCTGGCCCACAAGCCTCCAGTGGACTCCAGCAAAGCTCTTGAGTTTGAGCAGTTTTGTTCTGCAAACTCTCACCAATCTGGCCCTGGGTCAAATATGAATTACGAGCCACCGGCCTCATTTCATGTTTCCTCAAGTGAATAGAGAAG